GTCTATTATCTGCTATGTGACGCTTTTGGCTCTTATTTCCTGCCAAAATACTGTATTTAATCTAACTAAACAATTCTCCAATGCTTTTTGATATTATTAACTTTTTATTTCCCTCTTCTCTGTCTCATTTTGGAAGAATTTCACTCCACCCACAAAGAATTGTCGTGAGCTATTTTTTATATATAAAAATTTGGATATATAAAGAAATCCTTCGATAACTGATGATAATTGAAGATAAAATATTGGGAAAATTCAGAATTATCATCATCGGATATCGGTCTCATAGCGATAAAGGGCACAGCGGACCCGGGCCGCCTTTAGCGGCTCTCGATTTTTTTAGGTATCGGTCTCCCAAGCGACACAAGACACAGAGGACACTGGCCGCCTTCGGCGGCCCGCGATTTTTTTGAGTTATTGGTCTGAGAGCGACACAAGGCACAGAGGACTCGGGCCGCCTTCGGCGGCCCGCAAATTTTTTGAGTTATTGGTCTGAGAGCGACACAAGGCACAGAGGACACGGGCCGCCTTCGGCGGCCCGTGATTTTTTAGAGCAACGCAAGGCGAGGAAAACTTCACCGGGCCGCCGAAGGCGGCCCGCGATTTTTTTGGGTCTTGGTCTCAGAGCAAGGCAAGGCGAGGAGGACTTCACCGGGCCCGCCAAAGGCGGCCCGCGATTTTTTTGGGTCTTGGTTTCAGAGCAACGCAAGGCGAGGAAAACTTCACCGGGCCGCCTTCGGCGGCCCGCGATTTTTTTGGGTCTTGGTCTCAGAGCAAGGCAAGACGAGGAGGACATCACCGGGCCGCCGAAGGCGGCCCGCGATTTTTTTGGGTCTTGGTCTCAGAGCAAGGCAAGGCGAGGAGGACTTCACCGGGCCGCCGAAGGCGGCCCGCGTTTTTTGGGTCTTGGGTCTCAGAGAAGTGCAAGGCGAGGAGGACTTCACCGGGCCGCCTAAGGCGGCCCGCGATTTTTTCAGATTTTGGCCTCAGAGCAAACAAAGGCGAAGAAGGGGGGGGGGAAAACTTCACCGGGCCGCGAAGGCGGCCCGCCGATTTTTTTTGGGTCTTGGTCTCAGAGCAAGGCAAGGCGAGGAGGACTTCACCGGGCCGCCTAAGGCGGCCCGCGATTTTTTCAGATTTTGGCCTCAGAGCAAAGCAAGGCGAGAAGGACTTCAACGGGCCGCCGAAGGCGGCCCGCGATTTTTTGCCCCCCCCCCCTTTTTGGGTCTTGGTCTCAGAGCAAGGCAAGGCGAGGAGGACTTCACCGGGCCGCCGAAGGCGGCCCGCGATTTTTTTGGGTCTTGGTCTCAGAGCAAGGCAAGGCGAGGAGGACTTCACCGGGCCGCCGAAGGCGGCCCGCGATTTTTTTGGGTCTTGGTCTCAGAGCAAGGCAAGGCGAGGAGGACTTCACCGGGCCGCCGAAGGCGGCCCGCGATTTTTTTGGGTCTTGGTCTCAGAGCAAGGCAAGGCGAGGAGGACTTCACCGGGCCGCCGAAGGCGGCCCGCGATTTTTTTGGGTCTTGGTCTCAGAGCAAGGCAAGGCGAGGAGGACTTCACCGGGCCGCCGAAGGCGGCCCGCGATTTTTTTGGGTCTTGGTCTCAGAGCAAGGCAAGGCGAGGAGGACTTCACCGGGCCGCCGAAGGCGGCCCGCGATTTTTTTGGGTCTTGGTCTCAGAGCAAGGCAAGGCGAGGAGAACTTCACCGGGCCGCCGAAGGCGGCCCGCGATTTTTTTAGGTATTGGCCTAAGAGCGACACAAAGCACAAGGTAGACCCGCATAAATCTATTGAATATTTCCTTGTGTGTACTGTAAAACGCTACTGATTACAAAACTGTTAAAATTAACTCTTAACTCTAAATTAATTTTGTCGAATGAGTTTATACGCTTGCGAGTAGACCAAAGAAAGAGATTTGTAAGTAGTGTGTAAGCAATCGGTTTGTAACGCGTTCGTAGTGGCGAGTGACAATTCCTACATTACCGACTTATCGACATTGTCGTCCTAAAAACGTCACAGGCATAGGACTTTCAGTGTTATTTTGTTCGCATTTCCTTGCAAAAAATAGCGCCAAATACCTCAAATATCACTCCAAAATGTGCACTAACAAGGAGTACAATGAGGTGAGAAGGTTTTGCGATTGTGGGATTGATGGAAAAAATCAATAGTGTATCGATTTTCCGAGAATTTTCCGCCAATAAATCAATCTAATCCCAAATGGGGCATCTTGACTGTGTGGAGTCTCATGTGCCTGTGATTTCTCTTTTAGAGCTACTTCTACGAGTACAACATTCCTCAGCAAAGGATCTATTCGGCTCGAAGAGCAGCATTATCCTGAAATTATGGATCTCATCGCATACGACTTTCCGGGAAGCCGACAAACTGCCAAACTTCTACCGGCGCCACGACAAGGACGGCGAGAGGGATATGCCCGATGGCGCAGGGGGCGAAGTGACGGAAGGCTCGCGGCAAGCACAACGCTGCGAGACAGGCTGCAGGAAGTCGCACGAGGGCAAAATCAGACACAAAGCCGGGCGTGCAGCAACTCACGGTGAGTGTTCGTCCGCAGAGACGCAGTGCGCAGGAAGTGACTCACGAGTCTCTCTTTTCACAGGCCGGGAAGGCGTCGGCCGCCGTGAATTGCCTCACGGACACGTCGAAGTGGATCTGTAGCTTCGGCTCACGCGCATAATCCAGGCACGCAACTGCCCGGACGTCACGCCGGCGATTCTCTCCTGGCTCGCCGCCGTCAAGTCCTCCACCTTGGGCGGCTTCGTGGGGTCCGTGTTGTGCAGTAGCGTCACGAGATCACTCCTCTCCAGCCGCACCCTCCGGTCGCTGCCCACGAACTCATTCACACTGGGCAGACCCTCCTGGGCGAGCCTGAAGGCGCACGACATGTTTGTTGTCCGCAGCGCCGAAACTACCTTCACGTACCGGTGTTGATGATCTTCACGCGATCGCCGCTCAGCTACACAATGTCACGAATGGACTCGGAGCTGAAGTAGATATTCTTCTTCTTGCCCGTGTGATAGCGCGTGGCATAGCAGACACGTGGGCTGGAAGTCCTCGCGCAGTGTGTAGAAGGACTTGATGGAGGAGAAGATGTCCTCGTCGCCGTGGAAGAAGACAAAGGGCTCCTCTTTGTAGCCGCCCAGGCGGCGCTTCTTGCGCTGCGGCGCCGCCGGAGTAGCGATCTCTTCTCCTCCTCCAGCGCCCACGGCATGGCTCTGGTCTTCACCAGCACCGCCACAAAGAATCCTCCGGCGGGAACATCTGCGGGCGCAAGATTAAGTGATACTGCTCGGGAACTGCCTGGAAATCCGCGTAGAAACTCATGTCCTTCGCCGCCAGCTCCCACTTCTGCATCCCAAGCGAGAACTTCAGTCCCGGCACGAGACTGGAGGCGTCAATCAAGTCCAGCGCGCCCTCGGACTCCTTCAACAGACGCAAAATCACCGCCTCGTTCTCCACGGGATTGAAGGAGTACGTGGAGTACACCAGACGCCCGCCGATCGTCAGCAGCTCAGCGCCTCTCTTGGCTATCCTGAACTGCACGTACCATGGAGATTCGTGTCCGTGCTGCGGGATTCCACTTTGTCCAGATCGTCGCGGAGTTGGGCGCAGCGTGGCGCGTCGCCACTGCACGGCAAGTCGCAGAGAATCCTGTTGAAATGCATGCTCTCCACTTTGCCCGTCTCGGAGCATGCACTGCAAAGTCCGGGAAGCCCTCGCTCAATGCTTTAGTCAGTGCACTTAACCTTCTTCTGTGCCTCGTTCGTGCTTCAAGCCATTTCTTGCACAAAAGAACGAATTTATATGGACTTCCCGAGTCGATCTACATTCGAGGGACGAATTTAGATGGACTTTCGGAGTCCATCTAAATTAGACCTTGAGCAATTGCATCTAAATATGACTCTGAGCGAGTCCATTTAAATTCGATCCAATAAATCAATCTAATCCCAAAACATGGGGCATCTTTGACTGTGTGGGAGTCTGTCATGTGCCTGTGATTTCCTTCTCTTTTAGAGCTACTTATACGAGTACAACATTCCTCAGCAAAGGATCTATTCGCCGAGAAGAGCAGCATTATCCTGAAATTATGGATCTCATCGCATACGACTTTCCGGGAAGCCGACAAACTGCCAAACTTCTACCGGCGCCACGACAAGGCGGCGGAGCGGATTGCCGGCGCAGGGGGCGAGTGAGGAGGTGCTGCAGCACAAGCTGACAGGCTGCAGGAAGTCGCACGAGGGCAAAATCAGACACAAAGCCGGGCGTGCAGCAACTCACGGTGAGTGTTCGTCCGCAGAGACGCAGTGCGCAGGAAGTGAATCACGAGTCTCTCTTTTCACAGGCCGGGAAGGCGTCGGCCGCCGTGAATTGCCTCACGGACACGTCGAAGTGATCTGTAGCTTCGGCTCGCGATACTCCAGCACGCAACTGCCCGGCGTCACGCCGGCGATTCTCTCCTGGCTCGCCGCCGTCAATTCCTCCACCTTGGGCGGCTTCGTGGGGTCCGTGTTGTGCAGTAGCGTCACGAGATCACTCCTCTCCAGCCGCACCCTCCGGTCGCTGCCCACGAACTCATTCACACTGGGCAGACCCTCCTGGGCGAGCCCGAAGGCGCACGACATGTTCTTGTTGTCGCAGCGCACGAACACCTTCACGCCCGTGTTGATGATCTTCACGCGATCGCCGCTCAGCTACACGATGTCACGAATGGACTCGGAGCTGAAGTAGATATTCTTCTTCTTGCCCGTGTGATAGCGCGTGGCATAGCAGACACGTGGGCTGGAAGTCCTCGCGCAGCGTGTAGAAGGACTTGATGGAGGAGAAGATGTCCTCGTCGCCGTGGAAGAAGACAAAGGGCTCCTCTTTGTAGCCGCCCAGGCGGCGCTTCTTGCGCTGCGGCGCCGCCGGAGAGCCTCTCTTCTCCTCCTCCAGCGCCCACGGCATGGCTCTGGTCTTCACCAGCACCGCCACAAAGAATCCTCCGGCGGGACCATCTGCGGGCGCAAGATTATGTGATACTGCTCGGGAACTGCCTGGAAATCCGCGTAGAAACTCATGTCCTTCGCCGCCAGCTCCCACTTCTGCATCCCAAGCGAGAACTTCAGTCCCGGCACGAGACTGGAGGCGTCAATCAAGTCCAGCGCGCCCTCGGACTCCTTCAACAGACGCAAAATCACCGCCTCGTTCTCCACGGGATTGAAGGAGCACGTGGAGTACACCAGACGCCCGCCGATCGTCAGCAGCTCAGCGCCTCTCTTGGCTATCCTGAACTGCACACCATTGAGATTCGTGTCGTGCGCGGGATTCCACTTTGTCCAGATGTCCGGATTCTTGCGCAGCGTGGCGTCGCCACTGCACGGCACGTCGCAGAGAATCCTGTTGAATTGCATGCTCTCCACTTTGCCCGTCTCCCGGATCATGCACTGCAAGTCCGGGAAGCCCTCGCTGTCCTCGTTCGTGATCAAGCATTTTCACAAAAGAACGAATTTATATGGACTTCCCGAGTCGATCTACATTCGAGGGACGAATTTAAATGGACTTTCGGAGTCCATCTAAATTCGACCTTGAGCAATGCATCTAAATATGACTCTGAGCGAGTCCATTTAAATTCGATCCAATAAATGAATCTAATCCCAAATGGGGCATCTTGACTGTGTGGAGTCTCATGTGCCTGTGATTTCTCTTTTAGAGCTACTTCTACGAGTACAACATTCCTCAGCAAAGGATCTATTCGCCGAGAAGAGCAGCATTATCCTGAAATTATGGATCTCATCGCATACGACTATCCGGGAAGCCGACAAACTGCCAAACTTCTACCGGCGCCACGACAAGGCGGCGGAGCGGATTGCCGGCGCAGGGGGCGATTGAGGAGGTGCTGCAGCACAAGGCGGACAGGCTCAGGGAAGTCGCAGCGAGGGCAAAAATCAGACACAAAGCCGGGCGGCAACGCAACTCACAGGGAGTGTTCGTTCCGCAGAGACGCCCCCCCCAAGTGCGCAGGAAGTGAATCACGAGTCTCTCTTTCACAGGCCGGGATGCGTCGGCACACGCCCGGAATTGCTCACGGACACTTCGAAGTGATCTGTAGCTTCAATGTGAAATAAACACCCATGGAGGGACCCTTTGTGTGGCGCTATTCTGTGCACGAAAACAACCCCCTAAAGTACCTCATTATTTCCCAATTCTAATCGTGACTGTGGAAGTCAAATTATCGATTTTCGGTAATTCATCTCTCTCCAGCCGCACAGTCTTCGAGTGTCTCCATCGGTGGTAAAAGATCTTAAAAAGTCGTTTGTTTGCTGGTAAACAGCGCACGACATGTTCTTGTTGTCGCAGCGCACGAACACCTTCACGCCCGTGTTGATGATCTTCACGCGATCGCCACTCAGCTACACAATGTCACGAATGGACTCGGAGCTGAAGTAGATATTCTTCTTCTTGCCCGTGTGATAGCGCGTGGCATAGCAGACACGTGGGCTGGAAGTCCTCGCGCAGCGTGTAGAAGGACTTGATGGAGGAGAAGATGTCCTCGTCGCCGTTGAAGAAGACAAAGGGGCTCCTCTTTGGTAACAGCCCAGTGCGGCGCTTCTTGCACGCTTGCGGCGCCGCCGGAGATGCCTCTTATCTCCTACTCCAAGCGCTCACGGAATGGCGTCTTGGTCTTCACCAGCACCGCCACAAGAGAACCGCCGGCGGGAAATCTGCGGGCGCAAGATATGTGATACTGCTCGGGAAATGCCTGGGAAATCCGGCGTAGAAATCATGTCCTTCGCCGCCAGGCTCCCACTTCTGCATCCAAAGAGAGAAACTTCAGTCCCGGCACGAGACTGGAGGCGTCAATCAAGTCCAGTGCGCCCTCGGACTCCTTCAACAGACGCAAAATCACCGCCTCGTTCTCCACGGGATTGAAGGAGCACGTGGAGTACACCAGACGCCCGCCGATCGTCAGCAGCTCAGCGCCTCTCTTGGCTATCCTGAACTGCACACCATTGAGATTCGTGTCGTGCGCGGGATTCCACTTTGTCCAGATGTCCGGATTCTTGCGCAGCGTGGCGTCGCCACTGCACGGCACGTCGCAGAGAATCCTGTTGAATTGCATGCTCTCCACTTTGCCCGTCTCCCGGATCATGCACTGCAAGTCCGGGAAGCCCTCGCTGTCCTCGTTCGTGATCAAGCATTTTCACAAAAGAACGAATTTATATGGACTTCCCGAGTCGATCTACATTCGAGGGACGAATTTAGATGGACTTTCGGAGTCCATCTAAATTCGACCTTGAGCAATTGCATCTAAATATGACTCTGAGCGAGTCCATTTTTCAAATTCGATTCCCAATAATCAATAATCCCAAAGGGGCACTTGACCTGTGTGGAGTTTCAGTGCCCTGTGATTCTCTTTTAGAGCTACTTCTACGAGTACAACATTCCTCAGCAAAGGATCTATTCGCCAAGAAGAGCAGCATTATCCTGAAATTATGGATCTCATCGCATACGACTTTCCGGGAAGCCGACAAACTGCCAAACTTCTACCGGCGCCACGACAAGGCGGCGGAGCGGAGTGCCGGCGCAGGGGGCGATTGAGGAGGTGCTGCAGCACAAGCTGACAGGCTGCAGGAAGTCGCACGAGGGCAAAATCAGACACAAAGCCGGGCGTGCAGCAACTCACGGTGAGTGTTCGTCCGCAGAGACGCAGTGCGCAGGAAGTGAATCACGAGTCTCTCTTTTCACAGGCCGGGAAGGCGTCGGCCGCCGTGAATTGCCTCACGGACACGTCGAAGTGATCTGTAGCTTCGGCTCGCGATACTCCAGCACGCAACTGCCCGGCGTCACGCCGGCGATTCTCTCCTGGCTCACCGCCGTCAATTCCTCCACCTTGGGCGGCTTCGTGGGGTCCGTGTTGTGCAGTAGAGTCACGAGATCACTCCTCTCCAGCCGCACCCTCCGGTCGCTGCCCACGAACTCATTCACACTGGGCAGACCCTCCTTTTTGGCGAAGACTGGAAGGCGGCACGACATGTTTTGTTGTCGCCAGACGCACGAACACCTTTCCCGCCCGTGTTGATGAGTCTTCACGCGATCGACCGCTCAGCTACACCGATGTCACGAACTGGACTCGGAGCTAGAAGTAGATATTCTTCTTCTTGCCCGTGTCGATAGCGCGTGGCATAGCAGGACACGTGGGCTGGAAGTCCTCGCGCCGCGTGTAGAAGGACTTGAAGAGGGAAGATGTGACTCGTTCGCCGTGGAAGAAAGACCAAAGGGCTCTCTTTGTAGGCCGCCCAGGCGGCGCTTCCTCGCGCTGCGGCGACGCCGGAGAGCCTCCTTTGTGTGTGTGACCGTCCTCTAGCGCCCACGGCATGGCTCTGGTCTTCACCAGCACCGCCACAAAGAATCCTCCGGCGGGAACATCTGCGGGCGCAAGATTATGTGATACTGCTCGGGAACTGCCTGGAAATCCGCGTAGAAACTCATGTCCTTCGCCGCCAGCTCCCACTTCTGCATCCCAAGCGAGAACTTCAGTCCCGGCACGAGACTGGAGGCGTCAATCAAGTCCAGCGCGCCCTCGGACTCCTTCAACAGACGCAAAATCACCGCCTCGTTCTCCACGGGATTGAAGGAGCACGTGGAGTACACCAGACGCCCGCCGATCGTCAGCAGCTCAGCGCCTCTCTTGGCTATCCTGAACTGCACACCATTGAGATTCGTGTCGTGCGCGGGATTCCACTTTGTCCAGATGTCCGGATTCTTGCGCAGCGTGGCGTCGCCACTGCACGGCACGTCGCAGAGAATCCTGTTGAATTACATGCTCTCCACTTTGCCCGTCTCCCGGATCATGCACTGCAAGTCCGGGAAGCCCTCGCTGTCCTCGTTCGTGATCAAGCATTTTCACAAAAGAACGAATTTATATGGACTTCCCGAGTCGATCTACATTCGAGGGACGAATTTAGATGGACTTTCGGAGTCCATCTAAATTCGACCTTGAGCAATTGCATCTAAATATGACTCTGAGCGAGTCCATTTAAATTCGAGGCGATTGAGGAGGTGCTGCAGCACAAGCTGACAGGCTGCAGGAAGTCGCACGAGGGCAAAATCAGACACAAAGCCGGGCGTGCAGCAACTCACGGTGAGTGTTCGTCCGCAGAGACGCAGTGCGCAGGAAGTGAATCACGAGTCTCTCTTTTCACAGGCCGGGAAGGCGTCGGCCGCCGTGAATTGCCTCACGGACACGTCGAAGTGATCTGTAGCTTCGGCTCGCGATACTCCAGCACGCAACTGCCCGGCGTCACGCCGGCGATTCTCTCCTGGCTCGCCGCCGTCAATTCCTCCACCTTGGGCGGCTTCGTGGGGTCCGTGTTGTGCAGTAGCGTCACGAGATCACTCCTCTCCAGCCGCACCCTCCGGTCGCTGCCCACGAACTCATTCACACTGGGCAGACCCTCCTGGGCGAGCCTGAAGGCGCACGACATGTTCTTGTTGTCGCAGCGCACGAACACCTTCACGCCCGTGTTGATGATCTTCACGCGATCGCCGCTCAGCTACACGATGTCACGAATGGACTCGGAGCTGAAGTAGATATTCTTCTTCTTGCCCGTGTGATAGCGCGTGGCATAGCAGACACGTGGGCTGGAAGTCCTCGCGCAGCGTGTAGAAGGACTTGATGGAGGAGAAGATGTCCTCGTCGCCGTGGAAGAAGACAAAGGGCTCCTCTTTGTAGCCGCCCAGGCGGCGCTTCTTGCGCTGCGGCGCCGCCGGAGAGCCTCTCTTCTCCTCCTCCAGCGCCCACGGCATGGCTCTGGTCTTCACCAGCACCGCCACAAAGAATCCTCCGGCGGGAACATCTGCGGGCGCAAGATTATGTGATACTGCTCGGGAACTGCCTGGAAATCCGCGTAGAAACTCATGTCCTTCGCCGCCAGCTCCCACTTCTGCATCCCAAGCGAGAACTTCAGTCCCGGCACGAGACTGGAGGCGTCAATCAAGTCCAGCGCGCCCTCGGACTCCTTCAACAGACGCAAAATCACCGCCTCGTTCTCCACGGGATTGAAGGAGCACGTGGAGTACACCAGACGCCCGCCGATCGTCAGCAGCTCAGCGCCTCTCTTGGCTATCCTGAACTGCACACCATTGAGATTCGTGTCGTGCGCGGGATTCCACTTTGTCCAGATGTCCGGATTCTTGCGCAGCGTGGCGTCGCCACTGCACGGCACGTCGCAGAGAATCCTGTTGAATTGCATGCTCTCCACTTTGCCCGTCTCCCGGATCATGCACTGCAAGTCCGGGAAGCCCTCGCTGTCCTCGTTCGTGATCAAGCATTTTCACAAAAGAACGAATTTATATGGACTTCCCGAGTCGATCTACATTCGAGGGACGAATTTAGATGGACTTTCGGAGTCCATCTAAATTCGACCTTGAGCAATTGCATCTAAATATGACTCTGAGCGAGTCCATTTAAATTCGATCCAATAAATCAATCTAATCCCAAATGGGGCATCTTGACTGTGTGGAGTCTCATGTGCCTGTGATTTCTCTTTTAGAGCTACTTCTACGAGTACAACATTCCTCAGCAAAGGATCTATTCGCCGAGAAGAGCAGCATTATCCTGAAATTATGGATCTCATCGCATACGACTTTCCGGGAAGCCGACAAACTGCCAAACTTCTACCGGCGCCACGACAAGGCGGCGGAGCGGATTGCCGGCGCAGGG